GCTGTAGAATGCCATGTTCCAGAGTACTTATAATGCAGTGTTTATCTTCATATTTCCTTTATTGGTTTTTCAGTGCTTCTCCTGCAAAGACAAGCTCAACTAATTCACACATGAGGATTCAGACTTAAAAAGTTTGAAAGACAAAACAATGTATAACCTAAACAAACTCATCTTGACTGGCCACCCAAAAGCCCAGAGGTAGAGAGAGATGGACCACCCAGGGAATCAGACTGTGCAGACAACAGTTACTTTTGCCTCTTCATGAAGGCCAGGAGGCACACAGTAATTTCAGCTGCAAGTTTTCCTCAGTAGGTGTCTGGTACGCCTGAACCTCACAGATAATTATAGACATTATCCTGTGACCAGACATTATAATCAGACATTGAGACTGGATCTAGGTTCTGTTCGTTGAAGCTACAGGTCAGAAAATGGACTTACCTATCTAGCATAGACAGATAGGTTGTTGACAGCATAATATTTCTGATTCTAGCTGTCTGAAGTTACAAAAAATGACCAAGGGCTGAGGAGGTAGGTGACTCAGAAGCTAAGAGCACCGGCTGCTTTCTTTCCCATGAAACCCAGCATCCCTATGGTGGCTTACAACTGGAATTTCCATCTCGGGAACCTGACATACTCTTCTGGCCTCCTTGGATACAGGAACACATAATGGTACATAGACATACATGCAGGCAAAACAACCATACACATTAAAAATAAAATTTTAAAGGTTTTATTAAACAATGAACAAATCAGTCCCTTGCCTTCAAGAGGCTTTTCAACTAGTGGGAAGAGAACAATGGGGGAGTTGTATACCAATCATACTAGTATTTATACTCAGTTTTCCTGTTTTTTTTTTTTTTTTTTGTTTGTTTGTTTTCAATTTTTCTTAGCAACATTAATCTATTCTTTTTAATTTGGGGGATATGCTGGGGACCAAACCCAGTCGTTGTACATGCTATGAATACTGTCTGCGCCTAAGCTATACCTCCACCTGTAAGTGAGAGAAGAGGAGGTAAAGGAGAGACAGAGGAGGAGGAGGAGAGAGGGAAGGAAGGAGGGAGAGGGGAAGAGAGAAGAAAAGTGGTATTGTAATAGAATACCACTGATCTGGAAGGTTGGAAAAGGCTTCATAGAAAGTGTCTCTCCTTCCCCCAGGCTTTTGGGTAGTAGAGAGACACTTCCTGGAGCATGTCACTGTAGTCCTGACAGAAACACCCAGAAAACAGCTACCACATAGTCATACTCACTGAAAGGACCTAAAGCCTATCCCATTGAATTCTTGTCTTCCTATTTCTTTTATCGTCCCTAGGGAATTGGTTAATCAAGATGTATTTTGCATGTGAGAGATTGGGGTACAGGAAAAAAATACCTACCAACCTAGCTACCCTCATGCTGGCCTGTATTCTGCTGCTCAGAGCTCTTTGTCCTGTGTTCTGGCAGCTGTGATTCCCTCTACCTTTTGGATGTTAGGTGGCAGAGCCCCAAGAACAAATGCCTCCTGCCACAGCATTCCTGAAGTTGTATAGATGCTGTTTTCTGTGTTTTCCATGAAGACACAATTGCCCACCAGACTCTCTGGATGGACTTTCTTCCTCAGAGAGTACTTATGTTCAGAATCTCTATTGTGGGTGTGTCTGATAGGCCTTTTCTCTTTCTGCAGCCTGCCCAGCTGTCTTCCAGTGAGAACACTCTGGTGTGGATTGCTGTGAATGAGGATGGTGTTAGCATCCTGGACCACCGCACTATGGTAGGAGAGGAAAAGGCTGGTTCCAACCCTTCCTAAACGCTTATCTTCCCTGCTCTGGACTTGGAGGCCTGAACCAAGTAGCCGTGGTTCCCTCTCTAACCTCTGCCCCAGCAGTGCTGTCCTGTGGTCTAGACAAAACACATACATATGTGGTTTAACTCTCCAAATTATCATTACTCAGGTTCTCCCTTCACGGTTAAGGCTCCCCATATCTAAAAGAAACAGGTACAGAGTTTCCCCTGAATTCTGTTGGTTCCTTTCCACAGCAAGTGCACATCACTTATCCCTACTCTTTGGTGACAACGTTTGGTGGCTGCAGGGATGACTTCATGCTTGTCATTAGATCCACTCCAGATCAGAACTCTGGAAAAAGCCAAATTGACAAGTTGATCTTTCGAATGCCTGCTCCCAAGGTAGGTCTGACAGCCACTATAACAATTTACTCTGGCCTGGTAAGATGTGGTAAGCTTGGTGCTTAGAGATAAACTCTGGACGGGTTCTTCCCCAGATAAAATCGTTGGCCTTGGTGTGTGATCAGCATCCCAAAGGGTCCAGATGGAGTAGCATGTCCATCTCTACTGCGCTGGTACTTGGTGGGAACCACCTGAGCCAGCATTCCTTTCCTCCTCCTTTCCTCGGGAGGGTACTATGCTTGTCAGACTCTCTAGGAGTACATTTTCCTGGGCCTCTGAACATCATAGTAGTCTCTTTGGGGCTTTTCTCCTGAGTGAGTAGTTTACAAGAGAAAGCAGTAAAGCCCAGGAACTCTGTGTACCCAATAAGCCAGTGAGGAAACCATCATTCAAGACAAGGCTAGTTCAATTCCTTCACTTCCCTGATCTCCTTAGATTACAGAAGCTACCTTCATGATGGCCAGCTACATGAACCACTGTTCTGCAACTGTGAACCAATCAGCCAAGTTGCCTGCAGCCCGCCAGCCCCGAGACCTGGATGGACAGTTCTTTGCTTCTGTTTCCTGCACTAAGGGGCCAGCTTTGCTGTGAATGTTTCTCCTCCCCATACCCCTGCCACCACTGGTGCCTCTAGGATTAGATTTATATCCCGGAACATACTACTACTGTGATGGGTCAAACGGCCCCCTCCTCAAACTGTTCTGTGAAATGCATACTTCAGGGTCTCTGAAACCTTTGTACCCTTTAGGTGCCTTATCTCTCAAGGCACCTAGACACTTTAAGGTCCAGACCCAACAGCAAAACCACTATTTCTTTACAGGAATACTGACTGGATACTACCTGCTTCTAGACTGAGACAGGGATGGCCCACAGTTACCAGGGCAATGGTACTGTATCTGGGGCTTCTGCACTGATACTCAGGGAAGCTCATCTTTTTTATATTGTACATGGTCTTTACGTGGGGACTTATACTTGAAGTTTTCTGAACATCCCTGAACAAAATAGGACTAAAATTCCTAATTCACCTAAACTCTGGCAGATACCTACAAATCTCTAAAACTGGACCTCTTTCCCAAATGGGAAAAATACCAGCAGAGCTGGAGAGAATGACGAGCTTCCCCCTGCTGGTGAGGAGGCATTTGCCATGCCCCTACTGGGATAGCAACTCTAATCTTTTCAGGACAGCACACTACTCCTGCTAAGATTAAAGCTTCTTCTCACACTGGACTAGCATAGGCAGGGATAGATTTAGTCTGCACCCTCCCTGTGTCATTTTAAGGCCCAAGAGGGCTCCCTGAAGGCTGTGCTCACTACTGAAGGACACGGTGGTCATCTCCCCACCTCTGAAAGACAAAGCACATGAATTTTGTTTGTTGCTGCTCTGCAAGGCCACCAGAGACAATATGTCAGGAACACTAAGGACCTCCATTCCTGGAAGGCCTGAACTGCTCCCCAAGACTTTTGGTAGATGTCTTCTGGAAATTAGTTGGAAGCAAGGGCATTTTGATATCTGCCTTAGTAATATATTGAAGTACAAAGTTTCTTTCACTTTTGTCTTCCTGAGAACATTATAATCCCTCTCAACTCAGACCTTCTCATTGATTTTGATGAAGATGATCTTTATCTCCACCTTCCCCCAAAAAATAATAAAAAAACAAAAGTTCACACTTTAGTTTTCCAACATATAGAAAACATAGTTTTATTGTGTAGCTCTAAGGCAGTGTTTATAGTTTTTCAGTGATATGGATTAGGGGATCCGTGGAACATCCAGGAAATAAGTCTTTAAACAGTGTGTATGTTGCACATACACAACTAGAAGGCCAAAAGTTTGTTCGTCCGAGTGCCTCAGCTGCTATGATCGTTCTGTTCTCAGCCTTGGAACTGACAGTGTGGCTTTAGGAACACACAACAGTCTTCTTTGAAACAAGCCTGACTGCAGGGTAGGCAGTTTAGAACCATTTGCTTCAACCCAACTCCCATCCAGAATGCTCTAGTGGAGACAGCTCTACCTCAGTCCCATCACTACAGGCTCTTGGGCAGCTCCTTCAAGACAGGTGCAGGGCAGAGAGTGCTGGTCTAGGGTTACAGCCCAAGTGGCTCTTAAAGCCAGCAAAGATGTGCTCTACTTTGCAAACAGAGTTCCAAAGAATGGAACTGTATTAGACTTGAAGATCAGATTAGCTGCCTTCTTCTCTCTGTTGGTTTTTTGTTGTTTCTGTTTTGTTTTGTTTTTGTTTTCTTTTAGAGACAGGGTCTCACTATGCAGCCCTGGCTGTCCTGGAATTCACTCTGCAGACCAGGCTAGCCTCAAACTCAGAGATCTGCCTTCCTCTGCCTCCTAGGTGCTGGGATTACAGGCGAATGCTATCTAGCCCAGCTCCTTTTATCCTTCCTGATCTTTAGGAATCTAAGAAACTGCCTTAGAAACAAAGGCTTCTACAAGTTGGCTTCTTCATCCTTTAAGGTGACAGTTTCATGTCTGGGAACCAACATGAAATCGATCACTTTTCCTCTAAGCCCTCTTAGCCAAGCAGCTTTTGAAGCAATAGAAAATATCAAGTAACAAAAAGGTACTAATGTGCTTGACACCCATGGCTGAAATGCTGTGCATCATGCTTGTCAATAAAAAGCTGTCAGTGAACCAGGCAACTACTGCGTGTTTGGGATATTTATTTATTTATTTTGGGGTTTGAGACGCTGTCTCACAATGTAGCCCAGGCTTGCCTCAAACTTTCAATCCTGTTGACACCACCTGAGTGCTGGGATTATACCACTCCTAGCTAAGATGTGGACTAAGGGTCATCAGCTGGCACATCATAGGAGCTAGGTAGACAGAAGCTATTTGTAAGGCATTTTATTCCTGCTAATTAAAAACAAACAAACAAAAAAAAACTTGACTTATTTTCCCCTAACTTTTAGACAATAGTCTATGCAGATGGATATATTTTTCTTGTGAAATCTGGTACCAGTCTCAATACTCCACAGCTTTTAAGACAAACATGAAGTACTTAGAAACTTCACAGAGTGGTCTGTGTGAACATTACTTGTTTTGTGTGGGGGTCCTCACTCTGTAGCCCTGATGGCCTCAAACTCAAAAGATCACCTGCTTCTGCCTCTTGAGTACTGGGAATCAAGGCATGCGCCACTATGTCAAAATCCTTAAGGTCGCCCCTTGATTGGTAAAGTAGATAAAACCTGTAACCCCACATCACTGTACATCGAAACTCCAAGTCACGCTTCAGCTGCCTCCTCTATGAGTATCCATTCTGACTCCCTCAGCTTTGTCCCCTGGTGGTTTTACATGTACAGAAAGTAAACCAGCCACTATGGCTTCAGATCCTCTCCATAAAGACAATACGGGTCTTTGAATGTTGAGACTCATGGCCTTGTTGACGTGGCTTTCTGGTGTGCCAGAATCTCCTGGCAGCTCCTGTATATTTCAATCAAGCAGTCCAACCGGGGCTTGGCACTCTGAATTCCAAAGGGAGAGATGCAGAGTCAAGGAGGGTATAAGAATCCACCTGCAACCTCAACCTCTCATGTACACCATAGGCTCTAAGTGGCAACTGTGTGCACCTTGCTGGGAGGCCTCCAAATCAGGCCTTTGTGTGTGTGTGCGTGATGCGGAGGAATAAAGACAGCTTTTTTTGTTGTTTTGTTTCGAGACAGGGTTTCTCTGTGTAGCACTGAATGTACTAGAACTCACTCTGTAGACCAGGCTGACCTCGAACTAAGAGATCTACCTGCTTCTGCCCCCTGAATGCTGGGATTAAAGGTGTGCAAAAAACAGCTTTTAGCCTGACAAAATTATATGACAGTGAAACAGACCATCTCAGAAACTGTTACAAGTTGAGAAATAAGCCTCAGAGACAAGATGGGAAGTTTAATACATAAATTCTGAAAAGATTTTGTATTACACAACAAAAATTAAGATATTACAAAATAGGAAAATTGTATGTAGAAAGTCTATTTAATGTCTACTATTCCAAATAACACAAAATATTATGATGCATAACTGATTTCTAGGTTCTACTCAGCTAGTAGAGAAGACTGATAGTTTGAAACAAGGGGATTACAGGCAAGTAAAATATAAAATATTCATATATTTTTATGTTATATGTATATAAAGAAATCTCAACCTCACTGATATTAATGTTAAATTATAGACTGACAGATTTGAAGTACAAGAATGTGTTTTGTAGACAGAAGTAGTTATAGTATTGGTAACTGTCTTCCCTAAAATCTAAAAAAATCCTTTTACTCTGATTTAGACAATAGACATTCATGTCCTACTGAACAGACAGGCAAGGGTGAGCAGAAAGAGAAAAGGCAGGATTTCACAGGAGAAAGGAAGAGCCCCGTGCTCACCTGGAAGACAGGAACTACTTGAGATACCTCATGTGGCTTCCCTGGATCCTTCAGTAAAATGCAGAGATAGTAAATGACCTTTTGCTGTAAGAAAAGAAACCAGACAGATGGCTCAGTGAAACTCATCTTGTTTCCTTTTCCTTCAAGGGAAGACTAAAAAATCCTTTTCATAAATTATCTCTAAGTGAAATATTTGACAACTTCTGTCGTGCCAGGTGGTTGTGGCACATGTGCACAGGCCTTTAATTTCAGTGCATGGGAGGTAGAGGCAGGGGGATCTCTGTGAGTTCAAGGACAGCCTGGTCTACACAAAGAAACCCTGACTCAAAAAACAAAAAAAGAAAGAAAAGTATATTTTCACCCCTTATTTTTATTTTATATATGAGAGATCTTTTTCTTGAGACAAGGTCTCACTATGTATCTCTGGCTGTCCTGAAACTCACTCTGTAGACCAGGCTGGCCTCACTCACCGAGATCCACCTGCCTCTGCCTCCCAAGTGCTAGGATGAAAGCTGTGTGCCACCATGCGTAGCACTCACAAATAGAAACAACAAAACTAAATTAAGGTAGTCACTCAAACAAACAGTTGCCAAGTAGGTGGTTGCATGAGAGTAGATTAGCTATTAGACCTAGGCAACACAGTAAGACCTCATTCTTAGAGAAAGAAAGCAGACAAGTAAACAAAAAAAGATGTATTAAAAAGAGATAGAGACAGGAGGCTAAAAGTTCAAGGCCAGCATAATCTATACAATAAGACCCTGACTCAGGAAAAAAAAAGTGTTGTAAAGCAGTGTGCAGTGTTACACTTGGGAGCAACCTCAAGCATCTCGTGATAGTTACACATCATCAGTGGGATGTCTGCGTGACTAAACTATTCCATCAAAGTGTAAGTGTGTGCCGTGATGCCTGTACAACCAGCAAACTCATGAACAGCACATTTCTTGGCGCATACTGGGAAAGGATGACTATAAAGAAACATTTACTTCAACGTAAGTTTCTCTCCCATGGTTCGCAGGCATGCCAGCCAAAAATAACTACTTGTAGTGGAATGGAGCACCTTAAGTTTAATTCTGTGACATGGAATAAGTTTAGATCCCAGAACACCCCACAGGCTGACTGCCTCCTCTGGAGAGCCCAGAGATACACCATCTGGACACTTACCATGTAAATAGCCTCATTAATGATAACATCCTTGACCTTGTCCATCTCTATGAAGGTGGTACTTTCTTTGCCTGAAGCATAGGATGAAGTCATCTGGATGCCAAGTGAATCGATGATTAGCAGAGTCTCCTGATCAACCTTCACAAAATGGAGGTAACCAAGCAGGCCTACGATGTTGATAAAGATGGCCACAGAGAGGATCATGCTATTCTGAAGAGAGAGCCAGACACAGGCAGTAAGATCACCAAATGCTCCTCTGCATGTACCTATGCCAATCAGCAAGTTAACTGGACATGAGGAAAAGGCCTTACTCTGGTTGCTGTGCTATGAGGTGAACAGATGAGGGAACATGCATGAAGGGGGATCACTTTCACTTGAGCTCACAAAGTGTTTGAAAGGCATGCAGTGAAAGAGATCAGGACTACTAAAGAATAGATCTGGGAGGCTCCCAGCAAAACATCTGTCATCCATCAGAAAATGGGCTTCCCCAAATTACAACTGAAGGTCCCAGTGTTTTCCCTCTAAAATTTCCCATGCAAAATTACAATAGAATGACTGTGAAGTGCTTAGCACAGTAGCAGATACTGTTCCTTGACTGATAAACAGCCACTTATTTTTTTCCTAAGAGAATTCGGAATGAATTGTGATTGGTTCAGAAGTAGACACATGCTGCACTGAGATGTGGTGGCCAGAGGGCTATAGAAGAGGCCAACTTATTAATTATGTTTTTAAAAAGGTGGGTAGAAAGAAGAATGGGGCCAGGTGCAGTGGGCATGCCTGTAATCCCAGTACTCTGGCAGGGAGAGGCAGGCAGATCTCTGTGAGTTCAAGGCCTGGTCTACAAAGTAAGTCTAGGACAGCCAAGGCTACAGAGAGAAACCTAGTCTTGGGTGGGGGGCGGGGGGAAACAGAACGAAGAAAGGAAAAAAGGGAGAAATACTAAAATTAAAGCACACAGGAATAGCCTATAAAGCAGGACTTAATTGGCACAGAGGTTATTAGAAGTAAGTGGTTTCTGATGGGTACACTCTCCCACAAAGACAGGTTAAAAACTAGTACACTGGAGGATGTTAGTGTGAGAGAAGCCAGGGCCAAATAAGACTCTCATGTCAACTCTGGAATCTTTGGGCTTCACTTTTTACTGTGTTAATAAAGGCCCTTATCACTTTAATCTCCTGCGTTCTGGGTTACAGCTATGACTAAATTATTGTAAGGGGGCAAAAATGTTAGGCAGGCTGGAGATGTAGCTTAGTGGTAGAGCATTTGTCCAGCATGCACACGGTCCCCCCAAACCTCCTCCGTCACACACGCTGCTATGTATGCCCTTTTGTCTATGACACATTTATAACCTTTTAACACTCTGAAGCCAAAATGTGGGACATATTGTTTGTTGTTTCTTTCATTTAGTTTCTCACACCCTTTTACTCCCCTGACTGGTATCAGTGGCCTAATGTCTTAGGGTTTCTATTGCTGTGATAGAACACCATGACCAAAAGCAACTTGGGGAGGAAGGGGTTTACTTCAGCTTACACTTCCATCGCACAGTCCATCACTGGCACTAAGGAAGGTTAGGGCAGGAACTCAAACAGGGCAGGAACCTGGAATCAAGAGCTGAGGCACAGGCCATAGAGGAGTACTACTTACTGGCTTGCTCAGCCTGCTTTTTCGTACCGTCCAGGAACACCAAGCCAAGGCTGGCACTACCTGCTGTGAGGTGGGCCTACCATCAATCATTGATCAAGAAAATGTACCACAGGCTTCCCAAGGACCAATCTGGTGGGGGCGTTTTCTTAACCGATATTGCCTTTTCCTAAATTATCCTAGCTTATGCTGTCAACATTAAAAACTAACCAGCACACCTAGAATGTATAAAATTCAGTAATTCTGACCACATTCGCTGAAGCCAAGCAGTGTCTTGCTCTCTGTACAGATCAGTCCTCCTTTAACCTGACTCTAACCAAACTCTTCTAAGCATTCTATGCCTTAGCACCTGTCTTTAATGGACTTGGATTGCCCAGGCATTCAGGAACTATGCTGAGTTAGCTTAAGAGGACACCACACACACCATACCAGACAACAGTGTCCTTTGAGGACAAACCCACTGACTAATACCTCCCTCGGGTCCCATCTCTTAAAGTTTCCACATTTTGTTTTGTTGTTGGTTTACTTCTCTGTTGTGTTTAGGCCTTCGGAGGACATATCAAATCTAAACTGTAGCACCTACCTTCTGCAGTAATCTTAACTGGACAGGTGTGATGGTGCACAGTTTTAATACTTGGAAGGCAAAGGCAGATGAATCACTGTGAGTTCCAGGCCAGCCAAAGCTATGTTGTAGACCCTGTCTCAGAACAAACAAACAAACAACAGCCTTTAATCCCAGCACTCAGGAGACAGAGGCAGAGGCAGGCAGATCTCTCAGTTCAAGGACGGGTCTACATAGCAAGTTCTAAGATAGCCAGGGCTACACAGAGAAACCCTGTCTTGAAAAACAAACAAAAACCAAAGCAAAAAACATAAAACAAAGCAACAACTCTTAACAAGTTTAGCCACACACCTCCCCCGCCCTGGTGCTTCCCACTGCAATTGCTTATCCACTCATTCCCCACTCTGCTCCTTGGCTATAAATCTCCACACTCTCCTGTATTTGAACCTGAGGCCAGTTCAATAATGAAATCTTTTTTTTTTTTTTTTCTATTGTAGTAGCTCCTGAAAAAAAAAATCTGTTTTAAACTACTGGTCTGGTTTCATGATACCTAACACACTTAGATCTGCCAACTTCTCGGCTATAATCTGTTTCTGTTTCACCCACTTTGAGCAAAGTGCAATTTAAAAAAAAAAAAAGTTTTTTTTTTTTTCACAAGGTTGAAAAAAGAACAAAAAAGAAGCAGGGTGCAGTGGCTCACATCTTTAATCTGAGCATTCAGGAGGCAGAGCCAGGTGGATCTACATCTCGAGTTCAAAGCCAGACAAGGCTATATAGGCTACAGTGAGACCCTGTCTCTAAAACAAACAAACAAACAAACAAACAAACAACAACAAAGAATAAAAACTGGGCTGGAGAGATGGCTCATCAGTTAAGAGCACTGGCTGCTCTTTCAGAGGATGTGGGTTCAATTTCTAGCAGCCACTTGGAAGTTCTCAACTGTCTGTAACTCCAGTTCTAGGGGAACTGACACCCTCTTCTCACCTCCTTGCGCAGCAGGCATGTATGTGGTATGCAGACAGAACAAACAGCCCAAACACCCCTGCACATAAAATAAATTCTAAATAATAAAAAAGGACAAAAAGAGTATGAGACAGAGACCTACAACGCCTAATTTGATTAATTTGGCCTCTTAAAGAAAAGGCTTGCTGGCTTCAGTTCAGGTAATTATTTTTGGCTGATAAACAGGAGTCAGAGGTGGGCCGCTGATGACCCAGAAACATCGACTTTCAGCTAATTAACTCCAGGTGTAGGGCAGTGTTTTGTAAACAGTCCAAACCGAATAAGCATTATGGAAGAAAAGCAAGCTAAAACTCAGCCTTCTACAGACTTATTAAATGCAAGACTGATACATAAAAAGCCTAGAATACTGTGTTAGTGAGGAGAAAGGAGGAAGAGGGAGGTTGGGAGAGGGAAGGATAAAAGGAGAGAGAAAAAGAAGATAGCTCAAAGCACACAGGATTTTTCCAAGAAGACCTCCAAGGAAGCGGGGTCTGACTGGGGCAGAGAAGGCGGTGCACTTCCCTGGAAGGGCTAAAGCACTGCAGACTGGGATAATGTTAACAGAACCAAGAATCCAAAAGCAGAGAAAGGACAGGGTGAAGAACAGTAAATGCTTAGGGAATTTCACCCAGTCAGCCTTCTGTGAGTCCACCTTCCTGGCTAAAATGTTAACAATGCACACTATTCCTCTGAGTCCGGGTTGAGCCACATATCTGAATGACTCTGTTGAGAGTTCTTTCACTCTAGATATTCATTACCTTCGGAATAATTTCGAATAGGAGCAAAGATCTGAAATTTTGGCACACGGAGCCCCAGGGAAGTGTTGGAGTAATTTAAGGGGACATGCATTATTTCTGCAGTTGGGGGTCATTAGGGTATACGTGCAAGAGAGAGGAGTACAGTACAGCAGAGAACAGACATAACAAACTTTGAGCTGGGTGTGGTGTACACACCTGTAATTCCAGTACTCGACGGGGGCTGAGACAGGAGGATGCAGAGTTTGAGGACAGCTGAGGCTACACAGCAAGACCCTGTATCTCTAAACAAACCAACACATAAACCTGAGATCTGCTAGACCAAAGTATAATGGAAAGGGATCTCAGAGTCGGGCAGTTTTGAAGCCCAGATCTGTCACTTTACCAACATCAAGGCTGTTAAGTTATTCTTTCTGAACCTTGGTTTTCTCCTAAGGTTGAAGTAAGAAATTCGGCACAACAGCTGACACTCTGGGCAGTTAGTGAATACCTGCTCCCTCGTTCAGATAACTGCACAGGCGCCTGGAACACAGGCTGGTGTTAAAACTCAGCTGGGCATGGCGCTGTATCCCTCTAATAGCACTCGGGAGGCAGAAGCAGGTGAATCCCTGTGAGTTCCAGGCTAGCTGGAGCTAGGTAATGAGTTCAAGACCAACCAAGGCTACATGGTGACACCCTGACGGCCTTCCCAAAAAATGAATAAAAATCCAACTATATTATCAATTTGGAGAAAGGGCTAGGTCAATTTAATAACTTCAACTGACCTATGAAAAAAACTTTTAGATATAAATTGGTCTTTAATTTTTGTTTTGGGTTTGTTTGTTTGTTTGTTTTTGAGACAGGGTTTCACTGTGTAGCCATGGTTGTTCTGGAGCTCATGATGGAGACTGATGTAGCCCAGGCTAGCCTCTCACCTCTGCTTCCCTAGTGCTGGAATTGAAAGTGTGCACTATCACATCCAGCCCATACTATTGTTTGTTTATTTATTTATTTATTTATTGTGTGGAGGTCAGAGGGCAACTTTTGGCAATTGGTCTTTCCTCCCACCATGTGTGTTCTGGGGACACACATGGTGTCATGTTTGGTCATCAGGTTTGGCAGGAGGTGCCCTTACCTGCTTGATCCACTCCCCAGACCCTAAATTAGGGGTCTTAATTTCATCTGCTTCTATGTAAATTTTAGGCTCTGGCATATGCTTTGATGGTAGAAAAGCTAATGGGCCAGGTGTGATGCCACACACCTTTGATCCCAACACCAGGGAGACAGAGGCAGGCTCCACATACCCTTGCCAGTGCTATACTGTGACAGCTAAGAGAGAGACAAGAGACAGAAGAAAAAAAAAGCTATTAGATGTTCTGATAAAAGTAATGTGCAAATTACAGAAATAAACAGTTCTGGGTGTACTTAGCTCTAGTGAGACCTCTCCTGGAAAAATATATTCATTCCAGCTATAGAGGGACTTAAACTCATCCTGAACAAGGGCCAGTAGGATGATTCTTTCTACTTGGGAACTGTCACAGACTCACAGCATTCAACCTTCACAATATTGTGAACGTTAATTCCATCTTAGATATGTGAGGGGGAAAAAAAAAACCTAGAAAGTCTAGAAACTGAGCAGAGAAAACACTCGTGCCTTAGACTTGGCAATTCTTTAGAAAGTGTCCCTAGATTGGGGATGCGTTGGGAGGGGGTAGGTAGCTTAAGTGAGAAGCAGAGATTAGGAAGAAAACGAGCGCTCCTTCCGTGTCCACGCGTGGCACAGTTGTGGAGGCAAAGGCACTTCTCTGGAATTCTGCTGTACGCTTGCTACCCGTTGGCAGTGGTACCCTGCGAGGAGTGATGGAGGAGGAGGAGGGTGTGTGTTCTGTGGGTGAGCAGGACAGCGGCCCAATGGGGTGTAACGTCCTGGAGCACAAACTTCTTGGAGAGGACAGTGTTGCCGCCGGACGACGTCCCGGATCCAGGGAGTCCCCACCCTCGGGCCCCGGGGCCACCGGTGAGCCCCAAGACCTGTCAAAGCCGGCTTGCCGGCGACGGCCTTTACCTCCCACAGGGTGAAGAGCCCGTAGGCCGCCAGCCACACGGCGCAGGTGACGGCGCTGAGCGAGCACAGCGACAGCCGAGCCGAAGTGATTCCGAACTCGCAGCAGTACGGCGAGTAGTAGCGGCGCCGCAGGGCCAGGCGGCCGCCGCAGATGTCCGAGAAGCTCTTCTCATCCTCCATGGCCGCTCGCGACAGGCGGCCGCGCCGCTCTAGCCCACCCGGAGGACCCAAGTCTCGCTGGCTCCCAGCCGTTCCGGAAGCGGCTCAGCCCCGCCCGCCACGCGCTCCGCGCAACCGTGGTCGCGCACTGAAGCCCAGGGCTGGGCTAGGAGCCGGTTCTCCCGGTTGGTCCTTAACCCGAACTCCCCAGAATCGTGGCACCAGCTTTGCACAGATTAGGATCTCTGCTCATTCGACTGCCTCATTTATATTGCTGCGCTAGAATGAGCTCCAAGACACGGTCTGCAGGTATATTCATTTATTCACGCGTTCAGTCTTTGCCACACTTTTCTAGGGTTTTGGTTATAAGAACCAGGCAATATATTTGCATGGATGGAGGCCATGGAAGTAATCCTACCTCTGGTGATGGGTAATTACTCCTACTGTTGAATGTATTCTTGGAACTTGACTCACCATACATATGAGTAATGGAGAAACAGATGTAATCAAATAATCCAACTGACTTTTCATTTTGAGGCTCAAGCTGGGTTCTTAAAATCTTCTTCTTCTTCTTCTTCTTCTTTTTTTTTTTTTTTTTTTTTTTTTTTTGGAGCTCTTGCTTTAGTATTTGCTTACATTTAGGCTTAGTAGTTCTAAGAGTACTGTGTCATGAGCCATGCAGATGACTCTGAAGGTAAAGGCACCTGCTTCCAAGGCTGATGGCTTGAGTTTGATTCATGGAATTCACGTGGTGGAAGGAGAGAAGCAGCTCCAAGTTGTCCTCCGATTGCCACATGCCCGCTAGTCTCATGGCATGCATGCACCCACACAAATAAATAAATGTATAAAAGAATGCTGTCTTGCAGTATAGTTTTTATTCTATTTTATTTTGGTGGGGGTCGGGGGTTGGAACAAGATTTCACTCTACAGCCCAACTTGGCCTCCAACTTGTGTTCCTTCAGCCTCAGCCTTCCCTGAAATGCTGGGATTATGTTAATAACCCATGTGAGAAAGTTACAGGCTGCCATGCATATAAGGCCAAATTAGAGTCCTTACTGGCCAGTGACCATGAGCAAGGTAGAGCCTCAGAAAAAACTGTTGGCCCCGAGGCTTAGGGGTGTAGCATTCTGTAAGGCAACCACCCACAATGGCCGTCAAGTGTGAGTCAGAACTGGTAACAATTGTTTGGGTTATCCATTCAGCAGATAACCTTGGATATGCATTTGGACCATTGTCAGGATCGTGGTAGGTTCCAAGTGCGCCAAGGCAAACACCACTATTCATGGGTTTAGAGAGTAAACATAGAGCCCAGGGTAAGATCAGGACAAGATGCTATTGCCTTAGTCGCTTCAATTAAAGGCATGTGCTACTGTGCCTAGCTTCCATTCAATTGCTTTATGCATTTTAAGATATATGTAAGTGTCTTAGTTACTTTTCTGTTGTTGTGAAAAAATACCACGAGCAAGACAACTTGTAAAGGAAAGCATGAAACCGTGGGGATCACGGTTCCAGAGGGTTAGAGTCCGTGGCTGTCATGGAGGGGAGCATGGTGGCAGGCAGGCATGGCCCTGTAGTTGAGAGAGCTTACATCTGATCTGTAAGCACAAGGTGGAGAGAGCACCAACTGGAATGGTGTGGGCTTCTGAAACTTCAAAGCCAGCCCCCAGCGACACACCTAGTCCAACAAAGCCACCTAATCCCTCCCAGATGGTTCCACCTACTAGAGACCAAATATTCAAACGTACCAGTTTAGGGAGACCATTCTCATTGAAAGAAGCACAGTAAGAAAAGTCTAACATCTATTTCATCCCAGAACTGCTTTTGTTAATTATTTCATTTAAATTGAGATTCTTCTGGTTCTCAGAGGTGTGTGTGTGTGTGTGTGTGTGTGTGTATACACTTGTAGAATTTGAACCTAGACCCTCAAGCATGCTGGTGTTTTATTTTGTTTTCCTATCTTTTATTACAATGAATGGCTTTCAGTTGAAACCTGGGAAAATGGGATATTATTAAATCTGTGGCCTTATTTAAATCTGTTATGTCAGGACTTTTCTGACACTATTCTGCCAGGGAAAGAGGCCCCTGTTGGGGTTGGCCTGGTGCTTTGCATTCAAATGCTAAATTACTGGTCCCCAAGACCTGGTTGCAGTTAAGGAGAGCATATCTTCACATATCACCGGTCTTTGTTGTATAAACTTTGCTCTATCTAATTTAAAGTTGATTGGTTAATAAAATTGCTGAAGCCTGTAACTGGGCACAAGAGAAGTAGATGGAGCTTAGGTTCCCAGACTTGGGGTGAGTTAGTAACCATGAGGAAGAGGAGAAACAGGAGAGAAAGCTAGAGCAAAGGAGTTAGCCATGGGCCATGAGCATGTGGCCATGAGGGCTGGCCTGATGGAACAGAAGCCCAGGCAGGAGCAATTATGGCAAGTAACTTATACTGTGTAGCTGGGAAATAGCTAGTTAGCTTAGAGGGTTGATATCTGTCCAGCTATGGGTGCCTTAATGCTTTCATAAATCTAAAATGTCTTTGGTCTTGATTATTTGAAAACTAGCTGGGATAGAGAAGCCCTTTAGAGTCTAATATCAAATTTCAACAATAGTTTCCTAAGCCTTTTATTGCCAAGTAGAGGCAGGAAGAAGTCTAGGCTCCTCATTTAACTTTCACCGATACATGCTTGGGGAGGTGTTGATTGTACTCTGGCTAGGATGGAAGTCCTGCATGCTCTCTGGGAGAGACTAGCAGAGACTCCCATTTGCTCCACAGGGATGAAGTCCTTGCTGCACCCTAGTGGCCGTATGGGGCAAGTTTTTAGACCCGGTGAACATAAAGCCCTCTCTCACTCAGCCTTTGCAGACAGCGCTAAAAGCAAGAGCCACACTTTTTCCTGTGTTGTTTGGCAGGAGTGGAGATAGTCTGGAGTTTTCTCTCTTCCTAGCTGCTCCTTATTTTGCCCTTTGGCAGAAGGAAGCAGGTTTTCCTCCACACATCTTGTGTGTGTGCCTACTGACATCACCACATTGCTCTCTTCTCTTGAGTCTGGGCTGAGGTACACAAGGAAAAGGCTAAATCATGGAATGAACCACTCTGTTACTCCTCAGGCCCAGGATCCTTAGGCAGTCTGCAGGAGTGAAAGAGTATAATGCCCTTTCAGTCACCCATCACAAAGGTCCTGGCCGATATGCTTACAACCAAAGGTAGGTTAATAAGCAAAACCGTAACTATTATTAATTTAAAGTTTTACATGGCATGGGCTTTAGAAAACACAAAGACCCGAGGAGCACTGCTTTTTTATTTAGGCCCAGTGAAGAATGAACAGCTGCACAGAAAGGTGATTGTATAAAAGAACATGACAGAACCCAGCAAGACCTTTCTGTATGACATTCTTTCCCAGCGCACATATTACAGGACACTTGTTTCACAAGGGCTGTCAAGGGGAAGAGGGCCAGAGAGTGAGCACTCCAGGTTTATAGCTTGCTTTTGGGGAAGAAGAACTGGTTTCTACAAACTTCCTCAAAGAAAAGAAATCCTAGCTTCTGGTGCCTGGTTTAGGGAGAAAAGGAGGTGAGAGATGAGAAGTGGAAAGCCCTTTCTTCTGGAGGCACTTTCAAGCAGTTTTCAGCTCAGAATATTTGTTTTCAAAGCACCAGATACTGAGCTATTGTCATTTGTTTTTAGATGTGGGTTTTTACACCATAAAAGGTAACCTCATTATTAGTATTTTTACTATTGCTCTACTGTTTTCTCACTCAGTGAAAAAGTCTAGTAATTAGTCTACGTAAGAAAAAAGAATGGAGGAGCCTGGCAAACCTTTAATCCCAGCACTCAGGAGACAAAGGCAGGCAGATCACTGTGAGTCCAAGGTCATCCTGGTCTACACGGTGAGTTCCAGGACAGCTGGGGTCACACGGAAAAACTCTGTCATAAACCAAACAAACATATGAAAACAGTGGATGTCAGGGAGATGGCTCAGCCTGAGCAAAGCATGAGGACCAGAATTCAGATCTGTAGCTTGCTGGGTGGGCATGGTGGCCATTGTGCCCATAATACACCTGACAATAACATGGGGGGGTCTACACACGCATGCATACACATGCCCTCATCCTCACATACACTTGTGTAAACACACGAGTGTACATGTATACAGATAGCACACACTCAGGGTGTCAGGGAAGGCCACGGGTAAGAAGAAAGGAAAAATGGGAAAGTGCAGACGACATAGCTCTTTTCCACGGCGTCACAGCGCCATCTTGTGGCCATACACAATAGAGACAGTTGATAGTTTCAGTTTAATTAGAGGAACATGATCTGGCTTTTGTGTAGGTTTCTCCTTCTCTTGTGTCCTTGGACACTAAAGTGCTGGGTTTCCTTCCTTTGTGTTTTTGGCTGGTTGGTTGCTTTTGTGCTGCGAGGAGTTGAACTCAGGGCCTTGTACATGCTAAGCGAGAGACTGCTGGGTGACAGCTTCAGCCCTTACTACCGGGTTTTAAACAAAATAAAGCAAACATATGGGAAAATGTATTTAAAACATGAACCTAGCCTGGTTCATCTAGGTAGCTCACACCTGAAGTCCCGGGACTAGGAAGATGGAAATAGGCAAGATCATGAGTTCAAAGCCAGTCTGAACTATATAGTGAGATGGTCTCAAAGATTAAAAGCCCAAACAGTCAAAAGAAACAGTGGATCAAAACGTAAGTGACAGGTAGATTCAGCTGGATCAGAACACTTTTGTTAGCGATGCTCATCACCACATTCAGGTTCAGCCATTCACCTTCCATGAGCCAAGTAAAAGAGCCAGGTTCATGGTGAAAAGCAAAAAGAGGAGATTTATCAAATGCGACCACCTTGCAAAGAGGCACAAAGACAGCTAGTGGCACCCCTCCACCTCCCTCAGTCCACCTTCAGGGTCCCAACGTGAAGGATGTGCCTGCCTAAGCAGTCTGCCCACGGTGTGGTCCCCCAGCCACCACAGTCTCTGCTCCTGTCTCTCCTGCAAGGCCATCAGCGAGGTTGCAAATTCTTCTTGTGGTAAGAAACTCTCTCCTCTGGCTGCCACTGTGGCCTCTGCATTTTCTTCCATCAGAAGATATCCCAGAGAAATTCTAATTTCTTACAGGTCTGTGTTTCAATAGTATGAAAACCGAGGAGAGGGCTTGTCTCTTTACAACATTCATTCCTGCCAGACAGGCTGCCTACACTTTCAGCTCAATTTTATGGGCTCAGTCCTTGCTGGCTTGGAACTCACTCCGTAGAAGAAGCTGGCCTCGAACTGACAGAGTGTCTGCCCACCTGTGCCAGCTGAGTACTAAAAAGTAAAAGGGTATACCACCATGCCTGGAGAAAGATAGGGTTTGGTTTCTTGTGGTTTTGGTTTTTCGAGACAGGGTTTCTCTGTGTCGCTCTGGCTGTCCTGGAACTTGCTCTGTAGACCAGGCTAGCTTCGAATTCACAGAGATCTGCCTGCCTGTGCCTTCCAGAGTGCTGGGATTACAGGCGTGCACCACCACACCCGGCTTTGGGGTGAGCTTTTAAACACAAAAATCATATCCTAGCTTGACATAGTTCAGTTATGACGAACACTTAGCCAGAAAACGAAATTACAGAAGCCAAAGAGCAAGGTTAGTTATATTTAGAGACTTTGATGGATTAGGTCTTTGTTTCCGTTTTGGCAGATGGGGCAGTCGACATGCTGAGTTTTATGGCCTGAATAGTACTTCTATCGTGGAGTCAGTCTGGGGCCTGGTTACAGCTCAGCTGTGACTATCTTTCTGAATAGCTGGGTAAAAGCAGAGCTATCATGACAAAAGAGTGGGGCAGTTGTGCACTTCAGTGAAAAATGACTAGAAAGTTCTTTTGAGCCTTTTGATGCAAATAGACAACAAAATCAGTCCTTTCTGGTGCAAAGTCAGTCTTTCCCTAGTCAGGAAATGGCTCCCTTTTATGTTGTGTGCATGAGGGTTTCCTGCCTGTATATGTGTGCATCAAGTGCATGTCCCTGAAGGACAGAAGTTGTTCGGTCCCCACAAGGTATAATGGTTGTCAGAGAAGGCCCCAAAGCTCTGGGGGACAATTGAATTGTGTTTATTGGCTTATTATGAACGGTGGTTTCACTCATGAGGAAAGAATGAAAAAGGAAGGTTTTACTATGAAAAGCAGAGTGCACACCAGAGAGAAGTGCCCCCCCCCCCCCCCCCCGCTGCTTGTCCCGCTGCTTGACGTGCTAGAGTCCTGTCAACGGACCGTGTGCAAAGCCATCTTAGTTTTGGCTGTCAGAATGCGCTGGACACCAAACACATCTTTAAGCCCCAGTCCGTCATACAGATATGCGCCGCTTTGAAGTTGTGACAGGGATGGAGGTGTTCCTGGGAAAGATCTACCTGGTAAAGGCACGAGACATCCTCAGATGTAGTGAGAAATGCTGCTGGAAGTTAACACGACCAATGTAAATACAGAGACTCAAAGCCCAGGAGTTAGACGGGAAAATTATCCTCACTTTTGTGTTGTCATCTTCCTCCTCTTCTCCTCCTCCTCCTCTTCCTCCTCCTCCTCCTCTTCCTCTTCTTCTTCTTCTTTATTCCATGTCCACCTGGCAATTGGAAAGCTTTTTTTCTTCCTTTCTTTCATTCTTTGTTGTTGTTGTTTTGGTTTTTTTCAAGTCTCCGTTTAACCCTGGCTGTCCTGGAACTCACTCTGTAGATCAGGCTGGCTTCAAACTCAGAGATCTGCCCGCCTCTGCCTCCCGAGTGCTGGGATTAAAGGCGTGCGCCACCACTTTGCAAGCGTTTCTTACTGTAGCTTGGAGTACATAATTGCCTTCTGTTTTTGAAGTGCTAGGTCACTGGTTGAGTATCATTGTTCTTATTATATGGCATTTAAACCTGCCTGGATAGACTTCTATTCCGGAACAAAACTTTCTGACCAACGCCCTGGGGACTGTGCTTCCTGGTGCAGACCTCAGGTTTCCCTCTTTCTTTCCTATCACCCTTTTCAGTCTTGTTTTTCCCCCCATCTCCATTCTTTTGTGACACCTGCTGATCTGCAGAAACACTCTCTACCAGGGATCCCACAGCCATCAAGCACCCTTGGCTAGAATCCCGAGAGGGCAATAGTAAACCAAGAATGAACACCCACTCAACAAAGATACCAGATCTAAGTCAAGAAGCACTTCAAAGGTTTCAAGTCCAGAAGCCTGCATCTCACTGCAGAAACGCAAACATGAACAGACAAGACCATACACCTCTACCAGAGGCCCCACAGAAAGCAATTTGGCTGAAGCACAAGACAAGGACTTCAAAAGGCCAGTATGAATGTGTCCAAGGTCCTTAAAGAAGACATGGATAGATTCCTAAAGGATGGCCTTGGAAACACAAACAGTTGAATGAAATAATTTAAAAAATTACTCAAGTCATTAAAGTAGAACTTGAGAAAGAAGTGGAGTCCCTAAAGAAAACTCAAATGAAATAAAACTGGACCTGAAAAACTCGGGATGCTGAACAAAAACCTCACTCAGAGATCCCTGCATCAATCAGTGTTCATCACAGAAGCTCCCTGCAGGAGACCGGAATTAACACTGAGACCACAGCCAGACCATGCGCAGAGAGGGTAAGAGTCGGGCATTTCGTCTTAAGTAGGATGTCTTCATCAGATCCTCCACCCCCTGCCAGAAGCCCTGAGTTCAGTTCCCAGCACCCATGTCAGGTGGCTGCCTGTGACTCCAGTTCCAGGGGCCCTGCCACCATCTTCTGGTGGTCATGGGTACCTACCTATGTGTGATAAACACATTTATACACACACATTAAAAATAGTCTGACGTAAAAAAAGATTTCTTTTTTTAAATTTCTGAGATATGACTGCCTAAGTTTTTAAATGTAAAATCATTAATTTCAGAAGAGTGGCTGAGGAGCAAAGAGAAGGGCTGGCTTATACAGAGAAATGTCTTGCCCAGGTCCCCACTCTGTCTACTATGCAAACCACATATTTAGGACTGCAGGACAGGGTGGAAAGGTCAGGGCTTGGGGGTGAAGGGTTTGGCTCAGTGGCAGAGCACCTGTCAAGCATGCTGGAGGCCTGGAGTTCCATCCCCAGCATTACAGGGGGGAAAAGAAAGTGGATTGCAGGTGGCAGAAAGGACTTCCTGGAGGCTGTTTACCTTGGCAGTTGGAACAGGAACATGTCTGGGCAAGGGCTACAAAGTTCAGTGTGTGATTATTCTAAGAACACAGAGTACCTAGGTGACCCCCATCTGGAAGATAGCAACCAGACTTTATTTTGACCATGGGTCCTATTAGCCCCTTGACACCTTATTTGGAGATTCGAGTAAGAGCTGTTTCTGAAGCGAGTGTAGTAGGTGTGACATGCGAGATCCAAAGTTTATTCTCAACACTGAGTCAGAGGCCTTTGTTGCCGTGGTGGCCAAGGGTCAGCACGTTTTTGCCATACCCTCTCTGACCTCTCCTGAAAGAACTGGGAGGCTTCTGATTACAGACCCTTAAACCTGGGACAACAGGCGGATGGTACCTGGATGGGAGTTGTCCCAGTACTAAGGGGGAAATAAAAATTAGGAGGACAAAAGGCCCCAATGAACTACATAAGCCCCTTGGTATAACAAAGCCCCTGAGAGACTGGCACACGTAGACACAAAATTGCTGCGGTGTATCTTACGTATCTAGAGTTTTTAGTCTCCTATTGGCTGCTGGGACACTCCTATTGACTGCTGGGACACAGGCTGGACACCAGTGTCCCTCAAAGGCACAAAGGCTTAAGTGTCAGGATATAAGACACGAGAGGAGTATCACATAATTTTTGGTTTTGTTTTGCCTTTTACTATTGTCGGTTTGTTTTAGGGACCCTCAGGGGAGTTTGTGTAAGTTGGCACCATGCTTCTGAAGAGACGGCTAGGTGGTTAAGAGCACTTTTCGCTCTTCCAGAGGACCCAGGTTCCCGGTACCCACATGAGTGGTTCACAGCCCTTTGTAACTGCAGCTCCAGAAGATGCGATACCCTCCTCTGGCTTCCCGGGGCACCACCATACGTGTGGCAAGTACACAGGTGGCACACACTAACACACACACACACACACACACAAATAAATAAATAAATACCCACAAAAAAAGAATAGATGTTGAGGTAGGGGTTGCCGGAGAGATGGCTCAGCCGTTAGCAGGCACTTCCTGCTCTTCTAGAGGATCTCAGTTCGAATCCTAGTTCCGGGGTATCCAGCACTACTCCTGACCTCCCCATGAGGTCATGAGGCACCTGCACTCATGTACACACAACCACATGGAGACATACCCGTCATACATTTTTAAAAATAGAATGAATTAAAAAAAAAAAAGGCCAGTCCAAACGAACAACAGGCTCACCAGCACCAGTTCCTGTGCTCCTGTCCTGGGGTTCCACTCTTCCTAACAGATGACAGAAAGACCAGCCAAAAACACAAAACAAAACAACAACCAAACAAAAAAAAGCCAAATATGATTTCTGAGAGAAAGAATCAAACAGTTGTCACCTGACCTCTACAAGTACGGCATGGGATGTTTGTGTCCACATTGAAACCCCCACACACAATAATAATAACGTAATTGTTTTATTTATATTTATTTGTTCATTTTAAAATAAGGTCTCTCTGTGTATCCTTGGCTGTCCTAGAACTCTATATGTGGACCAGCTTGAACTGGGAGATCTACCTGCCTTTGCCTCCCAAGTTCTAGGATTAAAGCTATATAGCACCATGTATGGCTATTTATTTTTATTTTTGGTATATGTGTGAGTACTTGCGTAAGTGTTTGTGTGCCACCTGTGTGCCCAGTGCCCCAAGAGTCATGAAAAGGGCTCCAGATCCCATGGAACTAGAATACAAATGGTTGTGAGCTACCATGTGGGTGCTGGGAACTGAATCCAGGTGGTCTTCAAGAGCAACAAGCATTCTAAATCACTGAGCCACTCTTAACTGCTGAACTGCCTTTCTGGCCCCAGGCTAAAAAAAATTTTTTTAAATATGAAATACTTCATAAATCTTCATGATATCCCTACACAAGGGCCATGTTAATATCCTCTGTACCATTCCAATTTTAGTATGTATGCTGCCAAAGTGAGCACAATTTTTTTTTTTTTTCAAAGAACTGAGAAATTAACCGTGGACCCACTTGTTTTATTTTATTTTACTAATTACTATTTTCGAGACAGGGTCTTGCTATATAACTCAGACAATAACAGGGCCTCGGTTTTTAGTAGCCTACCCCCACCCCCACCCCCGACCTTAGCACACCTGACTCCATGCTGGAAGTACCATGCCGGCTGTAAAAGTCGGCGTGTGGACAGCACCATCTGCCAAAAATGAAAACAAAGACCCAATCCATCAAAGTCCATAGTTCTGGGAAAGTCTCTAAAGGTACTTAACCTTGCCTTTTGGTTTCAGTTGTTCTGCTTCTGGCTAACTGATCTTGTGAACTGAAGCATATCAACCCAGGACATGGTGTTTATGCTTAAAAGCTCATCCTGAGGAAGGTAGTAAGCCTGGGATCCCGAACACCCAGTGTAGTTGTCAGCCGGCTAATGAAGACTTTCTCTTGGCTTCCTATGTCTGAGCAGTCTTCTCCGGTGACTAGCCCACAACAAGACTAGCCTCCTCCTCCTGAGTGCTGGAATTACAGTCTCCCCGTGGCAGGGTCCCACTTCTGATACCTAAAAATAAAAATGTGCAAGAGAGGAATTTCAGAAAAAGATGTTTTAGTTTAGTTTGAATGTTTATTTACTTGTTTTGCAGCACTGGGATTGAATCCAGGCTCTCATGCATGCTAGGCAAATGCTCCACTGCTCGCACAGCTTTATTTTAAGCAGCAGCTTGCCATTGGGGAGACGCAGCAAAACATGGGGACCAGAGTTTAGATGTCTACTACCCACATGGAAGCCAGGCACAGCAGTGTGGCCCATCTGTAACCCCAGTGCTGGGGGAGTGGAGGCCTTCGGGGTCAGGTTAATAGCCACCAGACTCACCAAAACCCTGAGCTCCAGCTGCAGGGAGAGACCCACTCTCAAAAAATAAGATGGAGAGCAAGTAAAGAAGATGGTTAGTTTTGATCTCTGACCTCCGCATATGCTCATGCATGAGTAAGCCATGGGCACACAGACACACACACACACACACACACACACACACACACACACAGTCTGTGACATTTAAATTTCACTGTAAGTGACAAAAAGAGCTTCCAGAAGCTGTTTATCTCAGGGTTGAGATAGGAACTCCTCTGAGCAAAGGCCACAAGTTTCAGTTCGTGGTTCTTCTAGAACACTGTGTATATGACTTCTCATTGGCAGATGGCTATCACTCTTGGCTATTGAACTGAGACCCAATTAGCCACCTTGGACCCTTCTTGAAAGCATTCATGCTGCAAATGGACAGATAGGTTAAGAGACATACAAGGCAAGGTCTGGAAAGGTCTAAGTGCAGGAACTTTCCTTTCTATGGAACTGAGCTGTCAGCCTTCTGGCAGCAGATGTGTTCTTACCTCCTGGAACCACTCTGAACTCAGTCTACCATCCATCCATCCATCCACCCACCCATCCATCTATCTGTTTTTCTGTCTGTCTGTCTGTCTATTTTGTGTACTGGCTGGTTTCATGTGTCAACTTGACACAAGCTAAAGTCATCAGAGAGGAAGGAGCCTCAGTTGAGGAAATGCCTCCATGACATCTGAAGACATTTTTCCAATTGGTGATTGATGGAGGAGGGCCCATCCCATATTGGGTGGTGCTATCCCAGGTCTGGTTCTGTAATATGCTAGGTTCCATAAGAAAGCAGGCTGAGCAAGCCAGGGGAACAGCACCCCTCCATGGCCTCTGCATCAGCTTCTGCCTGGAGGGAGGATGCTGCCCTGTTTGAGTTCCTGTCCTGACTTCCTTCCGTGATGAACAGCAATGTGGAAGTGTAAACCAAATAAACTTCTCCTCCTCAACTTGCTTTTCTGTCATGGTACTTCATCACAGCAATAGACATCCTAACTAAGACATTTTGATGCAAGTTTTGATGCTGTTCGGGTTGGCTTCAAAATTGCCTCTGCCTACTGAGTGCTGGGATTTACAGGTGTGAGCCACCTCATCTGGCCTAGGATGCTTTCGTTTGCCACTGTGAGTGTGTCCATCAGCTAGAGGCAACCATATCCTGTAACCTGCTGTTACAGTTTAGATCCAAAACTGTCCCCAAAGGCTACAAACTAACAGATTGGTTGCCAGCTGATGGGGATGTGATTGAATCTTCGACCCCATCAATGGATTTGTTCTTTGACCTCCATGTTCAGTCCTTGGCATATTTTCTCACATATATCATGGGCACATGCTTGTGTGGGTGCTTGCTTGATGTACACACACACACACACACACACAGACACACACACACGATAACAAATAATGTTTTAAATCTCAGTTATCAATCAAGTATATGATTATTCCTAGAATAGAAACCCATAGCAAAAATCAAATAGAAAGGTTTCAATGTATATTACATAGAGGTACTTTGATTAATGTAAAGCATAAATTACTTATTATTTTGGAGACAAGGTCTCACCAAGGTCTTACCACACAGCCCTGGTTGGCCTGGAACTCCATATGTAGATCAGGCTGACCTTAAATTCACAGAGATCCATCATCTTCTGCCTCCTGAGAACTGGAATTAAAGGTGTACATCATTATCTGTGGTGGTTTGAATAAGGATGGCCTCGATAAGCTCGTACATTTGAATGTTTGGGCCCCAGCTGGTGGAACTGTTTGGGAGGGATTACAGGTGTAGGCTTGTTGGAGGGGGTGGGTTTTGAAATTCAAAAGGTCACACCATTCCTTGTTTATTTCCTCTGCCTCCTACTTGGAGTTAAAGATGTAAACTCTGATCTATTGCCATGCCTGCCTGGCTACTGTCATGATTGCCACCATGATGGTCTTGGATTCATTCTCTGAAACTGCAAATCATCAATAAACTCTTTCTTCTGTAAGTTGCCTTGGTCATGTCTCATCACAGCGGTAGAGAAGTAAGTAAGACAGCATCCCAGGCTAATAGAAAGCATTGCTATGTCCTCTCATTTTTTTGTTACCCTTGACTATCAAAAAATTAAATGAGGTAAGGTGGCTGTGGTGGTGCACGCCTGTAATCCCAGCACTCCGGGAGGCACAGGCAGGCTGATCTCTGTGACTCTTAAGCCAGCCTGGTCTACAAAGCAAGTCCAGGGCAGACAAAGCTACTCACAGAGAAACCCTGTCTTGAAAAACAAACAAACAAACAAACAAAGAGCACCAGCTGCTCATCCAGGGGATCTGAGTTCCATTCTCAGCACCCACACGGTAGCTCACAACTGTCTCTAACTCCAGTTTCAGCAGATCCAGTGCCCTCTTCTGGCCTCCAAGGGACCAGGGATGCATGTGGTATGTAGACGTCCATGCAGACAAAAAGCACATATACATAAAATAAATAATTTAAAAATATAAAAAGAGGAGGTAGAGAGATGGCTCAGTGATGAAGAGCACTGGCTGGTCTTCCAGAGGACCTGAGTTCAATTCCCAGCAGCACTCACATGGTGGCTCACAATAGTCTATAATGGGATTCGGTGCCCTCTTTCGGTGTGTGAATGCTATAATACTGATTAAAAAGGCCATGCAACAGATCTGGTATGAAATAAATTTACTGTGGAAAGTGGGAAGGGAAAAGAGGAGGGGCACCTCAGAGAGAGACAGAGGACTTAGGAAGAGGAGCAAGGGAGGGTGGGATGGTGGGTGGGTCCTTCTTATCCAGCCAGCAAACACCTGGTGTACACCTGGCAGCCTCAGGTAATGATGTCAGGAGTTGCTAGGCAACCTAGAAGCTGGCTACTAGAATAACATTCCTCCCTTTTTGTTTAAAAAATTTGTTTAAAAAAATGAGGAAATAGGAAGGGGTGGTGAGGCTAGAATGAGAATGTGTATTCAGAAAAGGCAGCTTCCTGCTGACTTGAGGGCAACAGGCATCTTTGGGGACCTTAAGTGTGTGTGTGTGTGTGTGTGTGCGCGTGTGTGTGTGTGGTGAGGGGGAGCTGGTGAAGTCCCGGGAGAGTTGGCTGTTTTATTGCTATTCAGGATCTGAGAACATCTGCAGCTAGGAGAGGAAGGAAATGCAGGTCCAGCTGACGAAGCCTGCTACGTTAGACTGGAGCACCTGTGGACAATTGTTTTGAGGTTGTCGTGGATGTAGGAAACACCTGGGCCTGACAGGATACTGGAACACATATGTGAGCAGAAGACAAAGATAAGTAGGTTAGGAAGAACATTCTTTTTTTAGATGCACATTAGAAACTTTTGGAACCATGGTTCTGGTAGTTGTGGGAGGGGAGTCCCAAAACTAGTAAAAAGGGGAGGAACCCCACCCTCTAAAAATAGGCAACAGGTGGGAACTGGAGTCCATTTGACCTGAAAGGTAGATTCTGGTAGATTTCCTGTAGTTTACAAGAGTCCTTTTTAGTTTACAAAGAAGATACGTTTTAAACATGTTAGGATCACCATTGTTTGTAATCGGCAGTGAAATAGACATTGTAGAGACAGGCAGTAGACATCTCTGTCACAGCGTAGCAGAGGCTTGGGAAATGATTTCTGGTTAACAGTATGAACAAACACTCTTTGAGGTGAGCTCAGGAAAGACAGAAGCCTATTGAAGTAGAAGGGGCAAAAGCTCACTCGATCTTGACTTTCAGTATGATTACACATCATGAAAGAGAGGCTCCTTCCCTCTACGCAGAAGACTGAATGGATAGAAATCTAACACAACAAGAAAACATTTTTAAGTCTATATCTAAAAGACAAACCAAAGGAAATTTAAAATCTTGAGCTTGAAACCATGATTGTGAATCATATAGTGGAATGATTTTTTTTTTGTTTGTTTGTTTTGTTTTTTTAACCAGAGGCAGATTAATAAATCAGAGCTCCAGTGATTAATGCCAAGGCTCTGAACAGTCTTAATACCACAGTAGCATAATAACAGGAAGAAATCTGAAGCATTTTTATTCCTTTTTTTTGTATTTCTTAAATTACCTTCTAAGACCCTAAAATACTTTCTGGAGTCCTCACAGCGTAAGCTTCTG